TGCATGTGATTCTAATGAGAAGGAAGACTAGCGATTGTTTACTGAGTTGTTTCAGTGGCCCTTTCAGATGGGAACTAGCCCTGTGAATTTATAGATGAAGTGACTTAGAGCAGATATTAGATGGCTTACAAAATTGGTGAAAGTCCTGAGGAACACGCTTTCAACTAAGCTTCCAGAATGACTATGGACCCCCAGAATTGCGTGATCTTTGCCACAGTGCGATACAATAGAGCGGTAGATGCTACTGCAGAAAAAGATGCTTTCTCGGGCAGCTGTTGACAGCAGTCGCCTTGCGTCGGCCATTAGCTGTGCCTGCAAATGGCCGGGCACTTTACTCGCTGCCAATAGTGCGGTCCTCTTCACACTGCTCCCCAGTCATCTCACTTGAGTACATCCAATTGATGGGACCTAAATAATATCCAGGAGCTTAGCTGCAAGAGAGTTTGATAAATGCTCCCTTTCAGCTTCCTAGCCTCCGCAGTCAGGAGGTTAGACACACAGAGCTGGGAACGGATGTTAAATAGACTAATCTAGAGTATCCATGAGTATCTCCCAAGCAGCAGGCATTTTGACAGTTGAGTGGGATAAGTAGTCTTACTGTCCCCACTTCATTAATGAGAAGACAGAGCTTACAAAGAGGGGAAAAAAACCTTATCCTAGATTATATAAATGGTCCCAGTGGTCTCTAATACAAAATCAAGTCTGTCTGATTCTGAGATTGTGTTCTTTCGACCCATTTGCTATGGTTGAGTGCTTTAGTTGGGACATCTCCCAAAGGTCCATAGGGAAAAAAAATCAGAAATTTAACAAAGTCTAGCCTCCTCATTACTGTCTCTAAATTGTGGAAGATGTGTGCCTGTGGTAGAAATCTTTGTCTCTTTAATACGCCCAAATATATTGATTACGGGTTGAATAAAAGCAAGGTCATTTAGATCGTGGTCTGAAATACGATTTTCGGCTGATAAGTTGTGGATCCCAAATGCACACGAAGTGACGATTCCTGATAATGGCCTCACCCCACAGTGCCTCAGTAACATTTTGATGAACAGAACGCGCTTATCTGACTCAAGTCAATGCAAAATTAACCCAAATCAGCAGCAGCAGCAGCAGCAGCCGTGGGCCAGGCCTCCTGCTCTGACTCCGAATATCCCTCCTCTGGTGTTCTGAGTCAGTTCATGATCGTGCCTGGGATTAGGAGAGTCAGGAGTCAGCTAGCTTCAAACAGCACCAACCTGAGAAAATTCTCAGAAAGACATTGGGAAAACGATCTCAAATTCGATAGATGCTATTAACAAAGATTTTTTAAAAAAAGGAAACAACCATCTTAATATTGCTGGATCATCCTTCAGCCTGACATACATCAGATCTTGCCTCAAAAACATGAATAAAAAAGGAAAATATAAATGACCAAAGCTTCTTTCCAAGATTGTGGAAATCCTGAGAACAGAGTCATTTCTCAAGAAAAAGAAAAAGGCTTGTCCTTCCCAGCAACAACTGCAGTTCTCCCCAACCCTGGAATGTCTGGGCCAAGCCAGACATCATACGATTTAGTAAATATGCCTGTTCCACATGAGTGCTGAGGAGCAGATTCACACAACCATGCATGTGCACAGCTCCTCATACGAAACCTGACTCTCAGCAAATGCCTGGCAGATGCTAGGTTTATTTTAGGGCATTCTTCCTCCAGCTTGATAGCGGTCAGTTTTCTGAATGTTCTCCCTTTTCACTCAGCCTGGAAACCTGGTTCACGAGACGGTGCCACCCACCTTCAGAGTGAGTCTCTCCTCAGTTAAAACTCTGTGGAAGAGGCATGTCTGCTAGCTAATTCTAAATGCGGCCAAGGTGACGGGGAAGACAAGCCATCGCAGGACCAAAGAACTGGCCTTTTGCTCCCAAATAAAGACGCCCAGGCCCTCACCGTCTGCTCTCTCTCTTTTTTATACTGCAGCCGGCCCCCTTTCCCCGAAGACTGGCATAGGAGTTTTTTCCTCAAATCTGTCTTCCACCCTGGAATACACCCTCTGGTTTCTGTTCTTCTATAACTACTCATCCTCCTGGTAGTTACCTTTCATTTTTAACCCCACACAAATACTTCCACGTACTTAGCGTACACAACACAAACTCCGCTGTTTATAGCTCATAGAGGCTCCTTGGCTTACAGATGCTTCCTGTTCAAATATCCGTGCAGTAATTGAACAGATTTTTGAGCATCTATGTCTGTTATAAGTCCAAGTTCCATGACTGCCAAGAATTTTTGACAAATGTGTTCACTGCTGTGCTCCTAGTGCTTATTATAGCACCTGGTGTTTTAATAGGTAACAGTATTTGTTGAAAATGAATGAATGAATGAATGAATGAATGAATGAATGAAAAATAACTTTTCAGAACGGGCCAAAGAAACATAACTCTTATCAGTCATGGTGGTTTTTGCTGTTGTTGAGGTAAAAAGATTACATTTATCTCCTCTATGTCTCCTAAACAATACCCAGCCCTGGTTCTGTTCTAGATGATCTGCTTTACCCACACCTTCTCCAGGGCCTTTATCCTCCATCCTTGTAGCTTTACCTTGAGCCTGGGTGAAAATTAATTTTTCTGATTAAGAATTAAGTTTTCTTCTGTGTGTGTGTGGGGGGGGGAGGGGGGATCAAGCCAACCTTAATTTCTGTCACATGAGTGAAGGCCAATCAGAGAAGCGCGTCTCAGAGTGAAGTGTCAATGAAGACTTGAGGTCACTTCCTAGGCTCCTCAGACACAGGATGGAGAGAGAGGAATAAAGAGTTCCAAAGACAAAGCAAAGGTAGGATTCCTCCCCCTCCTCTGGGAATGGACTCAGCTCCTGCTGGCAGAGTGAGAGACCCCCTGTGTGGTTCCCGACAGGGAGGAGAGGAGGAAAATCACGCTCATAGCAACAGCCACAAGGTTTAGCTAGAGGAGAAAACTCCCTTCCATTAGCAGATCCCAGCAGGTACAGGAGCAACCTGGCTGGGTCCTCTGTGCGTACTAACCTGGTTAAGGAAGACTCCTGAAACTATTCCAACTTACGAACAGAGAAACTGAGGCACAGAGGACCTCAGAAACATCTCCAATATCAACTGAGTGTGAAAATAGCAAAACTGGTCCCAACAGCAGCCAAAGTGAATCTTTTAGCCACAAAACCGTGGGACCCTAATATGTATGGACTGGTATTCACTTGGGAGACTAGTGTTCCGAGGCCTGGACACATTCACAAAGATAGCCTCCAGGGGGAAAAATGTCTAATCATGCCAAAATGTTTTACTGACACATTTATCCCAAATTATCTAAAGACTATCTTATTATTTTATCTGACATACCAGTTTCTCCTACTAAACCCTCCGGTCCTATTCACAGTATTCCCACTACTTCAGACTGTCTGGAGATGCTCATGTCTGTGTTCGCCCTTGCCACTCCTCTGAAGCCCAGAATAGTCGCCGTGTCTCTCTGGCCCCAACCACTTGGACTTCTGCACTGTACTTACAGTATCCAGTCTCCTCTCTCCTTGTCACAGCTTCAAACCTGACTTCTAACCTTGACTGTCCCAGGTCACCGGCTTCCCAATGTCTGTCTTGACTCCCTGTTCTCAAAGCCATCTGGAACACACAGCCTTCCTGGATGGGATTCTGATCAGACAATTTCTTTCCTGTGTGACTTGTTGCTAATGCTTCCTGCCTTGGATTCACCTCAGGACTCTGTCCTGGCCTTTTTTCCTTGGTCCTTCCATGAGCTGTCGGCTCTTACCAGGTGGCATTGTGTGCGTATTTTACTTCACGAAGTTGTTCCCTCGCTCGCTTGCTCCCACCTTCCTTCCTTCTCACCCGGCTCCTGCAGCCCGCCTCAGCCTCTGGGGCCTGCTGTATTCCGCCTTGGGTTCTAGCAGCCACCCCCACCCTGAGTCTCACTCACCCCTCCACGCCCCACCTTGGAGTCAGATAACTTTTCCAAAGAGCACACCAGCCCTTGGAAAGTTCTTCACCAACGCTTCTGTTTGTGCGTCTCCCTCGAACTCTCTTTCGCATGATGACGGAGTCACTGATGAGGGGATGAGTGACAGGGAGATACAGTATGTCGCTCCAGCCATATTCATAAGGATCCTTGCTCTCGTGCACACTAGCCTGTCCCTTGCACCATTGGATTTAGAAACTCCAACGATTCTCCGCACTTTCACTTAGGGAATGTTGTCCGGCTTGCGCTCCTCACGGCTGCCCCCACCTGGCTCACACTCTTCCTATCTCAGTGCCTTCTGCTCAGGCTTCTCTGTAGTGGATATGACCTTTCCTTCTATCTGAAATGACCTAGGTTTGATCATGTCAGGTGGACCTAAACCCTGCTCCTCTAACTCTGCCCCCGGCTCCTGTCTGGACCTTCTTATGGCGCACACCACACACGGCTTTGTGCTTTAATTTTTGTGATAAATGTATACTCCATTTTAAGTTAAAATTCTTGTTTCCTGTTTGATTACCCATGACCACCAGCAGCACCAGCAACACTACCACCTCTCTCTTTATTGCTTCTGTTTCTTGAGGCAGAAGATTAAGTCATAATTCAACTTATTTTCAATTTAGCCAATTTAGAACCCTATTTTCATTCATCTTACTAGTGTGTCTCCAAAACAAAGACTCCCCTATGTACTTAACCCCCCCAGATGGGACAGAAGTCCATCTGCAGAATGCTTCACTCTCCTTACCTCAAACAGCTCCTCAGACAATCCGCAGAGACCCAGTCCCTTCCTGAGCTTGCTCAAGTAACAAAACTTAGCAGCTACAGGGCTGCGGCGCAAGATCCTTAGAGCCTGGAGGCAGTAGAGTCTCCTGAGCTGCTCCCCACAGGGCTCACAGCACCCAGAATCCGCTTGGGCTTCCACGGCCCTGACCTCTTGTAAGCCAGGAAATAGTCTATTGTCAAGTGCACCGGTGACTCCTAACAATGATGTCATCCCCGGTCACCACGGTAACCTCCTTACTGTGAGTGTCCTCTTAGGAACCCCGTCTATAAACAGCTGTCCTCACTCACTGTCGTGCTGGTCTGTGCTTTAGTACAAGCTTCAGAGGCTGCTGAACCTCGGATCCACCTGTCCATCTGCTCTGAGCACTCTTCTGGTCTCCATCTAAAGTCTGCCGGCACCGAAATGGACACCCAACCTTGGTTCTTCACAAAATCCAGTGGGCAACTAGTACATCCAAACTAAGTCAGAGCCCACCCCCGGAACTGATGCTGTCAGTAACTGATTAAGGACAGACTTTCTCATTTTAAAATTGCCCTGAGTGGCATTCATTAGCTATTCAGTCCTCCAGTGACTTCTCAGGCAACTGATCTCAAATGAATCAATGACTGCAAATCAGCTTTCCCTTTGGTAAAGTATCCCATCTTTTTTACTCACTGGTCCTCTGAAATTTCTTCTAAATTTCAGTGCTGTGCACTATGGTATTTACATATAACAAACGCACATTGACACCTCACATTGAACTTGGAGGTATTGGCTGTATGTGATGGAAAAACACTGCTTGAAATCCAGGCAACAGGATTCAACACTTAATTTTGTAAATGATAGGGAATCTGAGCACTTAATTTCAAAGTAATGAAACACTAATCCCAAGCTTTATCAAGACTACAAATTCAGCACATTACAGACCAAGCTGTTTTGGAGCAAGGGAAGGCTCCGTTCATTTTATTTTTCCTTTACCTTGCTGCTGGTAAGCCTTTTTTGCCTGCAAGGCAGGAGCCAGGTTTCCATAAACATTATAGGAAATCAGTTCCAGATGGGAGAATTTTTCAAACGCTCCGTATTTTTCACAAGTTACATTTCAAAAGAGAGAACATTTGCATATTCAAGGTGAAATCCCATGGAAAGATGCCTCCTTGCCCAGTTTTATAGAGTAATTATTTCTACATTTCTGAACCGGCAACACCTCCAGAATGTCAGCTCGGCCTGCACAATAGACGTAGGTATTAATTAGCCACGCTAATTACCCAGGCTTGTTTAGACTAAGCAAGTGACGCAACAAACAGCTTCAATCTGTTGGTTGGATTCTTCTTGAACAACTTAGTCAAACAGAAACTTGTTATGACTAGTAAATTGCACAAACACAACTTGCAAACTGAGAAAGCCCTTCTGTGTTCCCTGAATTCAGGCCCTCGCTCACAAAGCCAAGTCGGCCTCCAAAGGTACTTAGAAGAAAGGCCTCTTCTGTCTCTCAGTGGAAAATCAATACTGCGCGCTGGAGGGGGAAGAGGGAGAGGTAAAGCGTCCTCTTCACACCACACGGGTGAGTAAACACCACCGTGGGCTTGGGCGCTGGCGAGAGATGGTGCCACAGAAACCGGCAGGCAGCGAGGCAGACCCGGAACAGAGCCCTCCCCAGCTCAGGACAGAGCCGACCTGAGCGGCCAAGGCGAGCTGGTGCTCTCAAGCCTGAAGCTGGCACGGCTAGCCCCGTGCCTCATCTAATTTGATTTCGGGGCAACTGCGGGGCTGTGTGCGCCTGCAAAATTGCATAATCTGCCGTTTCCCCAGCCGTTATCCAGCAAAGCTATTCTTCGCACACCGATTTGCCTGGCTGCTAATAAACCCACGGGCAGAGGCGGAGGGAAGTTTGCTCATCACTCTGTGTCCTCAGCTTCTCCTATCCTCAGGCTACCCACCCCTCCCACGTTTAGAGACAATCAAAGGCCTGTGGGCCCTTCTTCATCCAACCGTGTACACTTTCTGGGAAAGACATTGTTTTTATGGCCTTTGGGTCTAAACTGGCTGCGCTTCCTACTGTCCACACCCACCTCCCCGAAACACAGGCTTCCCTCCTCCTCTCTGGCCCTCCCTGGCTGTCCTGATGTTTTTCCTGAGACAGCCTGGCATTTCTGGCTTCTCTCCACGTTGAGTCAGATCTCAGTAGGGTTGAGGAGAGGTTCTAGAGTCATTATCAAAGCCAAAGGTAGGCAGGCTCTGACAGCTTTTCACAGCCCACTTCCTCGGGCTAGTATTTTTCCGTTACACTGAGGATAAAAGATAAGGTGTCTCTCAGATGTTCCTTGGCTGGGAACCCTCTGAAAGTGGGGCTTTGAGAATACAGAGCACTGCGCCTTCTGGGGGGAAGGAGACGTTCACTGGGGCCTTTGTTCCGCCACAGAGCTCCCCAGCATCTCGGAGGAAAGGGAAGGCCCCTCCTGGAGCACACTCCGGATAACTGAAAAGCTCAGCGGGGCGGGTGCACACAGCTGACCGGCTGAGGGGACCCAGCGGTGGCCTGGGTTGAAGTCAGGACCAGTCCCTCTCCGGCGGTTTCCACCAGACTCCCTGAGCTCAGCAGGAGCTGAAGACTTTTCTACTGATCTTTTCGGCTATTAATCAGTCAGAGTGTGAGATAACTTCTGAGATGCAATATGCCCTGATATTAAACTATGCAAAGGTGCTGTTGGGTTGTAACATAGAAAGTAAAGGAAATGTGCGGCTGCTCTCAGGGGTATGCCATAAACATTTTAATGCAAATGAACTATAATCCTCCCTCCCCCACCCAGCGTACGTGTGTACACACACACACACACACACACACACATCCTCTACTACCTAGCCACTTCCCCAGCCTGAATTCCATTGTACAAATCAATCAAAATCCCTGAGAGCTTCATGATTGCAAGATATTTAAGGTGTTTACACAAACAACACACAGCATTTCTAATTAATACAATTCACTCCGGATGCTTTTTTTTTTTCAAGAATGTATTTGCTCACTTTAAAATGGGCATCATACATACACATATTTCTGCAAATAGAAAGTTCTGAAAATTATTCTCAATCAGTCTATTGCAGTGTTCTTTAAGCCTGGATTTTGATTTTTTTTTTAATAGCCAAATTCTGGAATACTCTGATGTACAACTACTGAATCCCATACAAGAGAATAAGTCAACCTCTGCCTCCCGAGTGCTGGGATTAAAGGCATGCGCCACCACCGCCTGGCTTGACCTAACTTTTGATCACAGCAATGGCAAGCCTTTGTATAGCTGTCCTTACAAGAGCATTGTTGCTTGCTTGAAGCTACACTATTACATAAGGCAAGAAATGCTGTGGGGAGGATTCCCTTCTCGTCTTGATTGCTGGGCAGCCCTCCCTCTCCCCATAGGTGAATGTTTAATGTACCGTAACACTGAGTTTCCAATGGTTGGGGGTTCTTAAAAACAAAACGAGCTTATTTTTAAGATGATTTTTTTTCTTTTGGAAAAATTTTAACATATAGCCCAAGCGATCCCTTAGGTTTGCTGAAGAAGCTTCTTAGAGATTCACTTTGTATTCCCCAACCTCTACCACGGCTTCTTCAATTATGTGAACAAATGTGCTTTTCTTCTTCTGGTGAAATGTCCCCCAGCATCCATTAGGAGCCAGCTCCTTGTTCCAGCCATCGCCTGTTCTGTTTCCATGGATTTGCCTGCTAGGGGTATTTCAGGGCTGTGTCTCCTGCATCTGATTTCTCTCATGTAGCATCTGGAAACCCCGAGGCAGCAGCATTTCTGTGAATGGCTTCAAGCGCCAGCTTTCACTTCTGTCCTCTGCCTTTCCTGGCCCGCCATGAGCTGTCTACATTGTATTCCGTGTGAAATCGCTGTGCCAGGACTGACTTCCGATAGAGTTCCCACAGGCCTGGCTGACAGTCTCAGTCACTAGGTTTCAGGCTGACTCAGGAGTCAGAGCAATAAAAGTACCCTCAAACTTTCCCAGCATTTCCAGATTATAAAATAAAATGTGGGGAACAAATTTAGGTGATAACTGACAGGTAACAGAAAATCTCCCCTAAGGTGAGTCAGTGGGCTTATCCTGTTGGGGCTATCCTTCAGATTCATTCCAAGATGAACATTTGCTTTGGACTAAAAGAGACGGCCATGCTCATCCATTCAAGTATTCATGCTTATGTCATCCATATTGCGTTTTCTTTTTTGTTAACTAAAACAGCATAATAAGAGCACACACTGTGGTGTGGTGTGGTGTGGTGTACCGGAAACAGCACTGGACACCAAATGAGAAGATTAGTTTAGTTAGTTTTAGCACTGTTTAGTTGCTAAAAAACATGACCACGGGCAAGTGATGGAATAGCCCAAGCCTGCGACTCAAAAGAGAGCTTGTTCTAAATGTCAGCTCACATTACCCGTTTTTTGCCAAGATTGAAGCCAAGGGGAAATCCAATAAGAGGAAATTCATTCATTAGATAAAGTTCTATGTGAGCTGGACCATAGTCCCCAAATATTCACTAACATGTTAGCATCACGTTATGGACCTAATTGTGTCTCCTTAAATCTGTGTGCCAAAGCTTGAATTGTCTGTAGGATGGCATTTAGAGACAGGGTCTACAAGGGCTATAAAGTCTATAAAGGCTAAGTTAAATCTTAAGGGGGGGGGGCAAAATCCATAGGTCTGATGTCCACATAAGAAAGGGAAAAGATACCAGACACCCCTCTGAATGTGGCAAAGCCAGGAAGAGTAGCCCTACCAGAAATGGAATCTGTCAGGATCTTGAACTTGTACTTCTAACTACCAACTGAGTGAGGAAATAGAATTCTGCTGCGGAGTTTTGTTTTGGTAGCCTTAGCAAACTAATAAACAAATCGAATGTAAGAACTTCGTCATGATTTGTCCTTCTAGTCCTTAAACATTACTCAAGACTTGTAAGATTATGATGAATTAATCTATGAAAAATAATGTTATTATCAGTAAATTAGTATACACAACAATCCCTAAAATGTGCATCATTTCCATATGACCACCCAGATCAGACCACACCTTGCTCCCTGGTTATGATAAGGGAGTGCTGTGTCCCATTTTTCTTTCTTGTAAGTGGTATTAGATTTAGAGAGAAACAAAGAAAATTGGTCTACTACTCTGACAAGTAAGAAAGAAAATGGAACTTCAATTTACATTTCAAATGTTATTATCATTGTAAATGTTATTTTAAGCCTAAGAAAATGTATCCAAAAATTTCACGTCTTCTGGGGTTCGTTATATTTGGTGTCTACTGGCCCAGGTGGAGATCATGCTATTCCCTCGTTGGCCCCATCACTCAAGGGTAAGAGAAACATTACAAGCATTGTGATGTCAAGTCTAGAGGTGCCTCCTAGGTTCAAAGCTTGCCTCCTTCCCTGCCCGTCCCCTCCTCTCTCCTCTCCATCTTTTTTTTTTTTGTCCTTAATTTCCACAGTAATTTATAGTGCTTATTCTTAAATCAGCTCCGTAAAGTATACGCAGCAGAACTTTGATAGAAATTCCTGACTTGGATTATGTATTTAAAATCTCCAAGTTATTTTCTCACACAGTCTCAAAGACATTATTAAACCTTACAAACACTCTAACACTCACCTCATTCAGATTTTCCTAAAAGAAATGAAAATGTCTTCTACGGTTGTTTATTCAAGTCCAAGTCCATTTGCGGATGCTGCTGCGCTAGGAGCAGAAATGCCAGCTTGGTGATTTCACAGCCTTAATGCAAGTGATACCTGAGGGCTCAGTGGACACTCAGAGAACATTAGTCACACTCCAGATATTCATCAGACCCATTCACTTGACAAACACTGACTTATCTCTAGCAGTAAAAATATGAATAAGGTGCACCTTGGCTCTCAAAGGTTAAATCTTCAGTTTGGGTGAGCTACCATGAACACTAAAGGACCTGAGTGAATGTTGCCCATCTGAGCCTGTCAATTCCTAATCTACTGAATTTTCCTGGCAGAAGTGTGATGGCTAGTCTTGGTTGTCAACTTGACTACAACTGGAATCAGCTAAAACACAAGCAACTGAGACCTGTGAGGGATTTGTCTTGGTGGGAAGTCCCACCCTGAATCTTGATTATTTAAGGTCAGAAGACAACACTGTAAATCTGAGCCACACCTTTCTAGTAGCGGCCCACATAAAAGGACATGGAAAAGGGAAGCTTTTGCTTTTTGCCTGCTTGCCCTCACTTGTGCTGGCAAGTTCATCCACCCTTCTGATGAAGCATTCCTTTGCTGATATTGGAGCCTGCTTCCTCAGGATTCCAAAGTAGAATGAAAACTAGCTGAGACATCCAGCCTTGTGGATGGATTGAGCAACTATCAGATGCTTGATCAGGAGACAACCATTATTGGATGACCAGAATCACAGCAGGTAAGCCACTCTAATAAATCCAACTTTAATGTATATATATATATTCATTCTATCAGTTCTGTTGCTTTAGAGAACCCTAACTAGTACATGAAGCATCAACTAATTTTTTATATAGACAAAAAAATGCAGATTTAAGTGCCATTTCAAGAAGATTGGTAAACACATATGAACGGATTTTTTAAATTATTTTTGTTGCTGTTTCAGGGTGGCTGATGGTATTTTATTTTGAGAAGGGAACTGGATTTTTAGGTTACCCTGTTCGATGACAAAATAATCAGTTGCTGAGTAGCTTTCCGTCATCTAGAATGTTCAGAGTCTCCTTGCTCGACAGTCTGCCTGGCCTTCTCAACCTTGTCTTTTTCAGACTCTTTCCCCCAGCTCGCATTTTAGGCTCCACCAAAGCCGAACAGTTCACACACCCTGACATCTCCCAATGGCCACACTAAGACTTCTCTCTTCACCTTCCACCAGCCTCTCCTCAAGCCCTTACTGTGTAAGAGATGGTCCACCCTCTCTTTTCATACATTCCTTCTTCACTCTTTCACAAACTCTTCTTCACTCATCAGCTACTTGAGCATCGGTGAATACCCAATACAGGAGCTGAGCATGGTGGTACAGACATATAATCCCAGTACCCAGGAGGCTGAGGCAGGTGGCTCAGGAATTCAAGGCCAGTCCATCCCTACATAATGACATTTAGGGAAGGAGGGAGGGAGGGAGGGACGGAGGGACAGAGGGGCAGAGGAGAGAAGGAGGGAGGGAAGGAAGGAAGGAGGAAGGAAGGAAGGAAGGAAGGAAGGAAGGAAGGAAGGAAGGAAGGAAGGAAGACAATGGCTCTTAAAATGGAACAGAAAACAATGATCTCCTGGAAAGGAAGCAGCATCTTGCAGGCAAGGTCATATTTTATACAAAGTGACCAAACAGGGAGAAAATTAGGGGGCGCTTCCCTTGCTTTTAACCGAGCTGAGGCTCAGCGTTGCGTTCCCCATGAGCCAAAGACACTTCTAGTCAGGGTCCCCAGAGTACCAAGAATGGTACCTGGCATGCTCACAGGGTCAAGCAGAGTACCCAAGCCAGCCTATAGACACAACGATTAGCCAAAACCAAGACCTCCAACTCTTTGTCCAGTCTAGACTTCACAAACCCCATTTCCAAGAAAGAAGACAGTGTTTCCCAAATTCTCAAACCATATCATCATACTTTTCTAATAAATCCACCAAAGAGAGTCTGGGACAAAGGTGTGTGTATTGGCGTTCCCACCCCTTCCTTAGCCTGCTTTAGAGCCTGGTCAACCCTGTGGATGCTACCGCCAATCTATAGGATAGGAGTCCAAATGTACAATGCAGTTGCTTCTTCAAATGCTACCAAAGAATTCCACTCATGAAAAAAAGAATTTTATATGTGTGCACTTAAGATCCCATTAGACATCTGAACAGGGGCTGAAGAAGGCTGGCATAGGAAAGAACCTCCAACTGAGCACTTTATCTTTATGCTTAGACATTACCATGGTTTGAATAGGAAATGCCCCCTACAGGTTTACATTTTGAATGTGTGGCCCAAAGCTGGTGGCATTACTTTGCAAGGTTCTAGAAACTAGAAGGTGAGTCTAGTTAGTATGTCACAGAAAGCGGGTGTTTGAAGTTTATACTCACCCTCTGCTTCCTGGTCTGCAGGATGTGAACAGTCTCTGTGCATGTTCCCACTGCCGTGAAATGAGTCAGTTCAGTCCACCTCTTCTCCACTATGATGGGCTGGGCTCTTTGAAAACATGAGACCAAATAAATTCTTCCTCACCTAAGTTGTTTCTTTCAGGTACTGGGGCCACAGTTACACATCTCTAATTGGTATAGAAGCCCCCAGCCTGTCCCCACCAAACACTTCGTGGGCTCTGCATGCCCTGCAATTCCCTGTCTCACACCAGGACTTCACAGCCCAATTTCCTCTTTCTCTTCTCCTCCTCCCTCAGAGCATATAAGCAGCCTCTCTTGCTGTGGGTTGAGCAGCTTTCCCTTTCTTTCCAAGCCTCTGCTGTGCCAATCAGCACCCACCCTTGACATTGCCCCCTCCTCCTCTAGAGAATTCTGTCCCCTGGAACACTGCCTCCCTGTGATGGGGTCTGCTGCCTTGCCTGGTTGGGAAGGCAGTTGACTTCAGTGTAATCATTTAAGAGGTTTATTAATCAACTTGCACAAGCCCACATCCTTGGTTCTCTTGTCTCATGGAATTCAGCTCTTCCTCCGAACATGTCACAGTGCATTACCCTGCCAGAGTTAGCACATTTGAACATCTTGTCATCACGCGAGAGGCACCACCGTGGCATAACTGAGCTCATCTTTTTCTTTCAGAGGCATATTCTGGCAGCTATGATCTCGACTTTAAAATTACATTGCAGTGAATCTTTCTTCATATGCACTGTCTGTCTAAAAGTAATTTTGATTCCTAAGTCCCATAAGATGTTCTATCTTTAAGAGTTATATTCAAAATAGCTAATGCATACCTAAGCCTTTCCCCAATTTTGTTTGCCTTTAATTTAAGCACAGTTGTGAACAAAAGGCCAAGTTCTGCTACCTATGCCCAGAGTGCCCAGAGCAGCTGATTTCAAGCACTCCTGGCTCCAATGTGGACAGGCAGAAGGAAGAAGAAGGGCTTGGCCCAGAGAGCTAGGTTTGTCCTGTTTCCTTTTCAGACAGGAAGATAATGGCTGCTACAGCACCCACCCTGAGTGACACAGGACACACCGGGGGCTCCAGAATCGAAGGCCTTGGGAACTTTGACGTCACTGTTGAGTTACTTATGTCATACATGATGGGATTTCAGAGCTCCTGCTTTGGTTTCCCTTAATCCAGACTCGAGTGTCATACAGTGTCTTATTCGTGATCCCGATTTTACTCTTTTATTTCTGCCCAATTTGATCAGTTCTAAAGATGGTTATGAATTAGCCAACTGTGGTAACCCCAGGACTCAGGAGGCAGAGACATCAGGACATCTACAAGTTCTAGATTCCGAGATGATGTACACAGGAAGTTCTAGGCCTGCCAGAGCCACACAAGACTCTGTCTCAAAACAAAGTAAAATAGTGTAATGGATTAAACACCGTTTGAAATTATGTCTCTTCTGATCCTGCTATCCACTCTTCTTCCATTCATGATCCTGCTATCCACTCTTCTTCCATTCATTCTCTGAAAACTCTGTATTATAATATTATAGGCCATACATGTAGAGTTAAAGAGGCATAAAGGAAGGGGCTTGCTACAGGTCAAAAGCACGAGGCTTTAGGGTTAACGTGTGTGTGTATGTGTGTGTGTGTGTGTGAACCTTGACAATAGAGCTCTAGTTGCTGTTGCATTATAACTAGCTGTGGGTTATAGAACGACCACCCACAACACCTTCCTGGGAGGAAACAGTATATAACCTATGGATAACTCACATCTTCAGTTGGATATTCTCCTCTGATGGGTCTGGAATCTCTATCATTCCTTTAAGCAGCAAGGTCTTCCCCTCACAGTCACGAGACAGCCATTTTGCATAACCTTCACCAAAGGCAGGAAACAGGTGGGTAGTGAGGACAGTTAAAGAGAACATGGTTCTTTTTATCTCTGAGGAAAAAACTCCCCGTCCCAACTTCTGTGGACTCCCTCTACTGACTCATTGCCTTGAACTAGGTCACATTTAAATATCTAGTTTCCAGAAAGGCTGGGAAGAGGGCAGCTTTAGCAGACCTGGTGAGGTGGGTAAGCAGGAAGAAGGTTGTTAGGCATGGGTGGCTGTTTCTGAAAACTTCACCCAAGGAGACATAAGAAAACCCTCCAGAGTGGCTCTACCCAAGCCTGTTTCAGAGCCTGGTGGCTCTCTAAAATATAGGTGTGAATACCAAGGCCAATCTGGTCCTGCCTGATTTGGATTGTGACTGACAAAAACCTTTCTATAAGGAAATAATACAAACAAAAAACAAAAAACAAAAAACAAAACCTAGAAAATGGAATCTGGGAGGCAATTTGGAAGAGCTTAAAGCTGTTGGAGCAATGATATCCTAGGCCTTCCATCTCTGGGAAGATCTTCTAATAAATCAAAACTGGAAGGGTGAGCAGAAAGCCTTCTACTAACTCACTGCATGCCCAGAATTAAGAAAAGAGAGTCTTGATGAATTTAAATGAGAACACAAATGGATGACAGTCTTTGGGATCTCTCATTTCTAGAGATCTCCTTGACCTTCCAGGACCTACCCTGAGCCCCATTCCACGAGCACAAGCTGCAAGCTTTGTACCCTAAAACAGAATTAGTCACTGCAGAAATTAAGCTCCGGCTTAACAATAAGCATTCAGTGACTCACAGAGGCACGCACCATGAGAGAAATGTCACAGACTTGGCAGATAGAAATGTCTGCAAGAAAACATTCCAGTAGAATGTACTGAAACACACAGAATCAACACAGCAAGCCAAGCTTTGCAAAGCAGCCCCAGCACAGGGCTGTTGGGAATATACATGATACTTAAAATAAAATTCCAAATGTGCGCCTCTTCACTTATGTGTATAAACGATACATGTGGTGTGAGAGCTACCATGCAAAGCAAATTCAGGTGAGAGATATTTCTGATCAACTGGAGTTGGGAAGTTCTTCTCTACTAATGATTATCCATCAGTCTGTCTGCTTGCTTATTCTACTCAGAGACAGTCAAATCCAATGTCTTGTAATTCCTCTGCACTTGGACAGTCCACACACTTGTCCAGTCTGCTAATGTATGTAGAACCAGAGAGCCATCATCAATGTGTCCTTTGTGTTCTTCTCTGAGTGAAAGAAATTTGCTGGAATGTGTGAAGGAACACAGGAAATTGAAGCAAAAAAAAAATGGGAATGAGCCAAGGAGAAGCCCTATGCAAGAGTTGGGGGGACTCTACAGAGCAGGAAATGACACAGCATGTTAACCCAGGAACCCCAAGAGCCTTGGCATGGACTGAATGCTATCCAGAGCCCTCAGACACCCTGAATTCTGCCCCACTGTGGAACTGCCCTACTTCAAGTAGAAGTTCTGAGCCAGGAATATTTCCCTCCCTCCATGGACATTTGTCAGTTTCCAGGGTCATTTTTTCACTGCTGCCCTGAGGGATGGGGAGTCACTAGCAACTCTCCTAAGTAGGGTAGAGATAACTCTAAGCACCACGTGAACCATCTACCCCCAATGCCAACAGCCCCCATGTGAGAAGACATGCCCTGGACCACAAAAGAGGAAAGTCAAAGTTGAGACAGGAAGGGCATCATTTTACTCATCTGAACTCTCTAAGTTACGCTTAAAGTAATAATTGAGCCCCCTGGTTTAGGGGACTCCAGGCAATCGTATAACTCAGTCCTGCAGCCATTTGGAAACCACTGAGTCCACTTTGGTGATCAACTCCTTCTAAGAGTCAAGATAAGCCTAGAAGTTTCTTGCAGGATGAGTTCTGATTTGTTCCAGTAGAACACTTCTTTGGAGTATCTGTCCTGAGCGCCATGAGTTGGAAGCAAAGGGTAATCAAGCAGTCTTTGCAAAGGTGATTTTTCTCCAGCTTAATATAAGGATTTGTTGAGATGGAAAACTGTTATTGGGAAATGAAAACATTAAAAATTAATGGTTAGAAACATGATGAGTGATGTTAGTTACTTTCTGAAACATTATATGTACCAACTGGGGCAACTGTATTTTCCACTCAATGGTTAATACTGAGAATGGACACACAGGTCTGATGGGTTAGCCAGACCATTTTGTATCTGGAAGACATCTTGTACACAAAGGTTCAAAAGCACAAGAGATGTCACTCTCAAGCCAGAGTTTAAGTAAAGAGAATGAGGGAAAAGGCAGAGACTCCCTTGGAGTTGGTTGTCAGGATCTGAGAGCAAAGAGTGCCAAGGTTGGCTCAACTTCAGTCTGAGAGAAGTACATGAACACTGTTCCTTGTCTTCCTCTGGTTTCTGTCTTATTCTCGCATTGTTGGCAGTATTGGAGGGCAGGTGTCAAGCAGCTATAGCCAGGCTTAGTCAAGGAAAGTGGTATCACCTGGTCTCCTCCATTGCTGTCTACCCAACTAGCCCCCGGTATGATTATGGGTAACTTGTCTAGACATCTCCCTGTGTCTTCTGTGAGCAACCACAGCAAGGTATGTCCATTAGACCCAGCACCGAAAGTCAAGGGTAGAAAGAAACGATGAGTTTCCCATGGGTTCCTTCTCTGCTCTACCAGACACTCCATATTGTCACTGTCCCTGAACAAACTTAAGAGAAGATGGATTTTTTGATGGTCATGAATCTACTGTGCAGCTTATTTTTAATGTTTTGTCTCCTTTCCAGTCCCATCACATCTTTGCAGTTGTCTAGAACACTTGTACCATGCCATTCCCTAAATACGTTCCTTCTGGGCATGTAAGACTAAGCCACGGACTCTGAGAGATGAGCCCCAGCGAGATATAGTCCTTAGCTTACCATGAGCATAAGGCACCCCCTCTATCGTGTGTGTGTGTGTGTGTGTGTGTGTGTGTGTGTGTGTGTGTGTGTGTGTGTTGAGGGTGGAAGTGTCTATGCAAGAGTTCAGTGGGGAATTAAATACAAATAGTGAGAATGACAATGAAACAAACACACTAAATCTAAAACTTAGCGGCAGCTGGGCCTTGTGACGCAGACCTGTAATCTTTGCCACGTAGGGGGCTAAGGCAAAGAGAAACTAAATTTCAATGTCTGCCTGAAGTACAAACTGAGTTCAAGACCAGCATGGGCAACTTAGTGATATCCTTTCTCAACTTAAAGGTTTTTAAAAGGGGGGCTGGGGGGCTGGTGAGCAAGCTCGGGCTCTAGGTTCAGTCCCCAGTACTGCAAAATAAAATAAACATGACAAAATAGCCCATGCAATATTCTGCCTCATAGTACTACAGTATCCCTTAATCTTTCTGTGTTCTCCATTCATACATACTTTTCATCCCTTCACTTTCTCCAAGAGAGAATTACCGTACTCCTCCAGAGTCTGAATGCTAGAGCCCCAGTCCCAAGTAGGATGCAATTTGGAGGGGAGGGACTTGGGAAGTAATAAAGTCCTAAGTATCCTGGCCAAGCTGGCACCCTGATCTTAGGCTTTTAGCCTCCAACACTGAGACAAATAAGTGTCTGTTGGTTAAGCCATCTGGTCCATGACAGTGTCACAGGTGCTCAAACCAACAAAGACAGATGTGTCCTTCCGATCTGCTCACTGTGAACCTGTTTCATTTTGAAAAACTTTATAGCTGCTAGATATCATTAGAATCTATCTTCTTCCTCTTACTAAAGTACCCTCAAAGTTTGAGCTGCTGAGACTAAGGAAACCTGGTGCAGAGGCTCTGTAGAAGAAGACAGGCTGGGTGGCAGGCACCTTTAATGTCGACAGGGGTCGTCTTTGAAATCTGGTCCTGCTCGAGTCTTGTCATGTGTCCCCTGCCATTATCTCTTGAACCTACTCCAAGGAGACGTTCACTTCCCATTTCACGGGAACTCCTCTCATCACAGGCTCCGAGTGTCTCCCAGTGGGACCCTCAGTGGCTGAGTTCCAGCCTTGATTTATTTTATCTGTCAGCAGCATCTGATCCCACTCATCGCTGTCTCTGCAGACATCTCTGCATTTCAGACATTGCCACTCCCACTTCCGCTCTGTCTCAGGGATGTCCCCATGACAACTCTTGGTTCTTCCTCCTCAAGCTGTCCCCTCAACTGTGAAGTCCCTGGAGGCTTGGCCCCCCCAGACCCCGTCTCCCTCCATTTCTAGACATATGAAATCCTCTCAAGATTTGAATCCCCGCCACGTGTGTGGTGGTTCATACTTGTAATGTCAGTTCAAGAGAAGCTAAGGCAAGAGGATTGTCATGAGTTTGACCAATCTGGGCTACTCCAACCTGGGTTATCAAGTAAGATTCTGAATACATACATACATACATACATACATACATACATACATATATCATACATACATGCACTTGGGTATCACTCTACATCTCCCAGGATTTTGTCTCTAGTCCTTGCCTCTTCCCTGAATACACATTTATATTTTGCCATTTAAGTGTATAAGTGACATTTCACAGTTAAGTTTACAGCTCAAATCCTGGGCCAGAGAGATGGCTCCATAGCTTAAGGTACTTGGCCTCAAGCATGATGGCCTGAGTTTAATTCTGAGCCCTCATGGTAGGAAAAGATAAGTGACTCCCACAACTGTCCACTGATTGTCACAGGTGTAATTTGGACACATACACGCACACACACACACACACACACACACACACACACACACACACACACACATGCAACCCCCCTCCCCACACACAGGCACATGTACCGATCAATGTAATTTTAAACATTAAAAGCAAAATAAACTACACTCCTCTTTTTGTTGTTTTGTTTTATTTTGTTTTTTTGTTTGTTTGTTTGCTTTTGGAGACAGGGTTCCTCTGTGTAGACCAGACTAACCTTGGACTCTAAGATCTTGCTTCCCTCTGCTTCCTGAGTGCTGGGATTAAAATCATGTGCCACCACTGCCTAGCAAAA